GTAATTCTGTAGCGAATTCCCTTCTAGTATTGCTCACACGCAACAAATACTGTGCAATATAAACAAATCCGTTTCACAAGGATTGCTTTTTCTGAGCGCGTGGCAGTCACAATTCTTATCAATTTCTACTTATCAACTCTTGAAGAAAACCCCTGTGAAGACCTTGGGTTCTGTTATTAGAGAGTCAGCACGGGGTGTCTGTATGCCCCCTTCCAATTCTGTGATTCTATGACTTTTCATTATTTTTGTCGCAGATGTTGTATTTGGATTTCCACCTCTTCCCGTGATCTCTCATTTTTGGCTTCAACCTCCAGGTGGGGCCTGGCTGTCTCCCAGAATTCCAACTGATATCCAGATGACAGAGATCAGTTCCCCTGGAGAAAATGGCTGCTTTGGAGGGTGGACTCAGGGATTATACCCTGCTGAGGTAGCCTCCCTAGGATCCACCCCCAAAGTCCCAGGAATTTCCCAACCTGGAGTTGGCAACCCTAGTTCTAGTCAACGAAAGCTGACGGCAGAATAAAAACGTATTCGTCTTTAAGACGCCACAAGACTCCCGGTTAGTTTGGGAGGGATAAACCGTCCCATGCAATTGCTCCATTGTGGACTGTATTGGTTTTGACCAAGTGAATTGGGGTGGGGGTGGGAATTAAGTCTCCGAGCCCGCTCCTCTCTTTCTCTGCTCGAAAAAACTCCTGAAAGGCCCTACTGGCCACTTCTGCAAAATCATTTCCTCTCCCCTGGAGGCTTTGATGTGCCAACTAAGCTTAACCCAGCCTGGCTCCAGTTTTTAATATTACTCTGAACAGCTCAACATTCCCACCCACCCCCAAGGTTTCCGTCCATCACTCATCCCTGGGGAAAGCCATTGCTTTCATTCATCTCTTTGTCTTTCACTTTTTATACAAACTGTCCTTGGGAGACACCAGCCTTTGTCCATGTTGCCTGAAAGCAAAACTGGAAGATCCCTCCTCTGTCCGTTCACATTTAGAGTTCAGTGGCCCCTTTGAGAAATTTGTTTTAGAAGAAGAAGAAGAAGAAGAGATTGGATTTATACCCAACCCTTCACTACCCAAAGGTGTCTCAGAGCGGCTTACAAACTCCTTTCCCTTCCCCTCCCCACCACAGACACCCTGTGAGGTGGGTCGGGCTGAGAGAACTCTGACACAAACTGCTGTTTTCCAAGGACAGCTGTGCCAGAGCTTGTGACTGACCCAAGGTCACATCAGCAGGTGCAAGTGGAGGAGTGGGGACTCAAACCCGGTTCTCCCAGATTAGCGTCCGCACACTTAACCACGCCACCAAACTGGCTCTCACTGCTTCAGACAAACACGGCTGACCAACTGGAGCTTTTCTAGCAGGAGATCTTGGGATCCCAGCTTCGAGGTTTGTGTCCGGCTGAATATAATCTGGGGAAAGCACAGCATCTCATTTTTAAAGACTGCGGGATTGCTTGCCTCCTGGAGAAAAGGGAACCATGGTAGGTTTGGCTCCCAATACTAAGATGCGTCAGTCACCTACACTTGGCTATTCAAGCCTCGTCTTCTGATTGCATAATATAAAAAAATTTGCAACAGCTTCCATTATTTCATAATTAGAATTAAACAGAAGAAAGTGAACAACGGAGTCGTCAGAGTGCCAGCTCTTACCCTCTAAAAGTGGAGTAATGAAACGAGATCGGATATCCTTATAGAGGGGGCAATGAAGTATGGTGTGTATCATGGATTCTATATCTTTTAGAGAGCAGGGACAAAGTCTGTCTACATGTGGTATCTGGCGGCACCTCCCTAAAAGCACCTCTGATGGCAGAACATTAAAGTGTGCAAGCGTGTATGCTCTGCGATGGTGTGGGGCTGTTAAACCTGACAGATACTTCGCAGTGGAGCCCATGTCAAAAGTCCCCAACCTGCTTGGGGAGCCTCTGCTGGCTGCACGTTCCTGAAGTTCTTACCTTTCGATGTCGAGAAATCCACGTTTAATGATAGCACAGGCTTGTTTATCTGAAAAGGGGGCTAAATAATCCGGGGATATTCCCATTGTGGAGAGTTTCTCCTCTACATATCTAAGCCATGGAGAGGGGTCATAAGCAGTGTCCCCTCTAAGCTGAGTTCGTGTGAGCTAGCTCATCGTTTTTTAGCCTCCAGCTCACAGATTTTTGTCTCAGCTCGGGAAGGATGGCTCCGGAGCAGACTAATTTATGCAGCAGCCAAATCGCTCGCTCTCAGCTTTAAGGCCAGTAGCTCACAAAGTAGAATTTCCGCTCACAAGACTCCACAGCTTCGAGGGAACATTGGTCATAAGCAGTGTTCCCTCTAAGCTGAGTTAGTGCGAGCCAGCTCACAGTTTTTTACCCTCCGGCTCACACATTTTTGTCTTACCTCAGGAAGGAGGGCGCCAGTCCAGAGCAAACTGATTGATGCAGCAGCCAAATCCACCTGCCTGCTCACAACTTTAACACTGGTAGCTTACGAAGCAGAATTTTTGTTCACGGGACTCCACAGCTTAGAGGGAGCACTGGTCATAAGCTGTCCATAGCCAGTGCTTTCTTCACAGAAAACTCGTAGGCAGGTTTGAGGTTCGGTTCTTCCCTGACCTCTTCCCTTTCATCTCTGCATGCGCAAGGGTTATGGCACCGACTCACAAGCGGCATGGTGTGCGACTCCCCCACGTGCGTGCAGCCGGGCGCACAAGGTTGGCTGCAGCACAGGGTCAGCCCTGCGCTCCTGCCCATCTCTCTCCTCACAGGATGCGCTGGTACCTTGAGGCATGATCATATCTCGGGGGGGGGGGCGGCAGCGCGTATCTAACTGTGACACCACCAGGGCACTGTCTCAGCTGTGTCCTCTGGCGCCCTGACCAATGTTCCCTCTAAACTGTGGAGTCTTGTGAGCAAAAACTCTGTTTTGTGAGCTACTGGCATTAAAGTTGTGAGCAAGCAATTTGGCTACTGCATAAATCAGTTTGCTCTGGAGCCCTCCTTCCTGAGCAAAAACAAAAATGTGTGAGCCGGAGGCTACAAAACTGTGAGCCAGCTCACACTAACTCACCTTAGAGGGGACACTGGCCCTGACCCCAGAGGTTGGCCCACGGCGGTCTCAACCCTGAGCGAGAGGGCCCCACCTGAAGGAACTCTTCATTCCTTTCTGCCCCTCTCTGCCTGCCGGTCGGGTCGCTGGGGGCACTTGGGGTAGGGTCACGGCGCGGCGGGGAGGGAGAGGCGCAACATCTGGTTTGCCCATTTGGAGCCAGATGGGCCGAGGCTGGGAGGAGGTCAGCACCGCTTGGGCCGAGGTCAGGGAAGGGGCCCCGCTCCGAGGTCTCCTCTCTGCATGGGGACTGCAGCGTGCGAAACCGTTTCCAGGCCTCCTCTTGTTCTGACATGGCTGGGGAAGGGACTGGCTGGGCTTCATTCCTGTTGCTAATCCAGGAGGAAAATGGGGCGGGGGGGGGGGCAATAAGCCATGAGGATGGTGAAGGGGTCAGACCTTGAAATCTCAGGGTCTGTCTGGAGTTCGAACGGTCATTGACATGGGGTTAGCATTGAGCCTGTTTACCAAAAGTAAGTGGCTAGCCATAGAATCCTAGAGTTGGAAGGGGTCACAGAGGCCATCTACTCCAACCCCCTGCCAATGCTCCCTCTAAGCTGTGGGGTCTTGTGAGCAAAAATTCTACTTTGGGAGCGACCGGCATTAAAGTTGTGAGCCAGCAGTTTGACTACTGTGTAAATCAGTTTGCTCTGGAGGCCCATCCTTCCTGAGCTAAGGAAAAAATGTCTGAGCCGGAGGCTAAAAAACCTTGAGCTAGCTCACACTAACTCAGCTTAGAGGGAACACTGCCCCCTGCTCCCTGCAGGATCAGCCTAAAGCGGCCGCTGCTTGAAGACTGCCAGTGAGAGGGAGCTCACCGCCTCCCCAGGCAGCCCATTCCACTGCTGGATGACTCTTAGTGTAACCCTCCCCCCCCCGTCCCAATATCCAGCTGGTATCTTTCTGCCTGTAATTTAAACCCATCATTGTGAGGCATATCCTCGGCTGCCAGTTGGAACAGAGGTTGCAAAGCCAGACAAGAGTACCGGTGGCGCATTTGGGTGTTGAACTGAGAAGGGTGGATGGAAGAGGAACATCTTTGCCGCTGTCTGTGACTAGCAGAAGTGAAAGAAATCATATCACGCACACACCCCTCCGAAATGAGGCTAAGTTGCATAATTTTACAACTCCTGATGTTCTTGGTGAATTGTTTTGCTTTGGTTATACCCTGTAGGTGGACTGGCTGTACTTTTTCAGACTGCAGGTTAAGGTGTTCATTACCATTTCCCCATTTTTCAAACCCCTGCATGCAGAAATCTAGCAATTAAGGGAGAAGGCTAGCCTGGAACCCAAGAAGATTCCTGAGGTGCTAGTTTTGTAAGTGCAGGGATATTGACGATGATGGTGGTGGTGGTTGCATTCAGAGGACCCATAAATGCCACCTGAAGTGGCAGAGGTTTACCAGCTTGGGGAGAATGTGGCCTTCCCTTTTCTGAATCCCAGTCCCCACAACTGTGTAGCTCTGTTATAGAAGAAGAAGAAGAAAAAGAGATTGGATTTATACCCCGCCCTTCACTCAGAGTCTCAGAGCGACTTACAATCGCCTTTCCCTTCCTCTCCCCACAATAGACACCCTGTGAGGCGGGTGGGGCTGAGAGAGCTCTGAGAGAACTGCCCTGGAGAGAACAGCTCTGAGAAAACTATGGCTTGCCCAAGGTCATCCAGCAGCTGCGAGTGGAGGAGTGGGGAATCAAACCTGGTTCTCCCAGTTCGCGCACTTAACCACTACACCAAACTGGCTATAAGTCCTAGAATCTTTGCGTTTATGTTCTCCATGAGGTCTTGTAACTTTTGGCATTACCGCATTGCAATGACTCCGCTTTTTATTGCCCCCCCCTTCCATGTTGCCTCTTATTTTGGGGTGGGTGTGAGCGCTGTGGCACCGGAAATAATGCATTCCCTTTGCTTCCCTAGCCACCTTCGGATAAGCCACCCGAGAGCTGGCCAGGCAGCTACGGAGAGACCATTGCAAACGAAGCAACCATTGCTTTGAACGGAGCCTTGAAGATGGCATCCAACGGGGGGCAGAACCTCTTGTTGCACGCGTTGGTGTATGAGGCTGTTACGGTGCGTACTCCAGGCGCGGGTTGTGTCCTCTATAGACCAGGAAGGGAAAGAGCCGATGTTCACTATAAAGGGCGTGCCTAACACTGGGGACTGCCAAGTTGTGTTCTTGCTCTGGTGTCTGTCCTGTATAATGTTCCCTCTAAGCTGTGGAGTCTTGTGAGCGAAAATTCTACTTTGTGAGCCACCGGCATTAAAGTTGTGAGTGAGTGATTTGGCTACTGCGTAAATTACTTCGCTCTGGAGCCATCCTTCCTGAGCTAAGACAAATGTGTGTGAGCCAGAGGCTAACGAACTGTGAGCTAGCTCACACTAACTCAGCTTAGAGGGAACACTGGCTCTTTTCCCAAGAACAGCCGTGTTCTCTCACTGCATTACATGGTGCAAATCTTGTCTCCTGTGCCATAATCCAGGATCCGTCAGTTTCTGCAAAGGGAGGGCGTATTTATTTTTTAAATTTTATTTATTTATTATTTTAATTTATAGCCCGCCCTCCCTGCAGGCGGGCTCAGGGTGGCTCACAAATGGGGCACATGCCAATACATAAAACAGGTTAAAACAGCATAAAAACAGTCATTATAATATTACAAAGCTATAAAGTGCTCTAGATGTTTCAGATCAGCCTTCAGTAAAAAGATGGCATCATGAAAATGGTACTCCCAAATCAGTGCTGTCCACGCGACGCTGTCCTTCACTTCTCCCAGGGCCAGTTGATGATGATGGTAAAGGTAATGATGGTGAGGTAGTGGCGGCTCCTACTCAAAAGCCTGGCGGAAGAGCTCCGTCTTGCAGGCCCTGCGGAACTGCGCAAGGTCCCGGATCTCCTCTGGGAGCTCATTCCACCAGGTAGGAGCAACCACCAAAAAGGCCCTGGCCCTGGTTGCCACAAGCCTGGCTTCCTTGGGACCTGGGGTCACCAGGAGATGTTGCATCCCCGACCGTAGTGCCCGTAGGGGAACATATGGGGAAAGGCGGTCCCTTAGGTATGTTGGACCCCAGCCATATAGGACTTTAAAGGTAAGAACCAGCACTTTGAAGCGAATCCGGTATGCTATTGGCAGCCAGTGCAGTGCTTTCAGCACAGGCCGGATGTGGTCTCGACCAGGGAGGCCCATCAACAGCCTGGCTGCAGCATTCTGCACTAGCTGCAGCTTCCGGATTTGCGACAGAGGCAGCCCCATGTAGAGGGCGTTGCAGTAGTCTAGCCTTCAGGTGACCGTCGCATGGATCACTGTGGCCAGGTCATCGCGGTCGAGGTAGGGAACCAACTGCCGAGACAGCCGAAGATGGTAAAAGGCTGACTTAGCCGTGGCTGCCACCTGGGCCTCCATAGTTAGCGTATTCTTTCTTCATGCACTAAAGTAACGCTTTCTCCCAAAATCTCAGGGAGGTTGGCATATACTCCTTTGCCCCCCTGCCTTACCTTCACAACAGGTCCGTGGGGCTGAGCTTTACTCCTGGTTATCTAGAACAAAGTTTGAGTCCAGACTAGGCACCTTTAAGACGAAGAAAGTTTAATTCTGGATATAAACTTTTGTGGGCATGCACATGTAGGAGCTGCGGTGGCTCAAGTGGTTAAGGCGCTGAACTGCAGGCTGCGGAAGGTCGGTAGTTCAGCAGTTCGAGACTCGAGTGCCGCATGACGGAGTGAGCTCCCATCTCTGGCCTCAGCTCCTGCCAACCGAGCAGTTCGAAAGCAAGAAATTGCAAGTAGATAAATAGGTACCACTTCGGTGGGAAGGTAACAGCGTTCCGTGCGCCTCAGCGTCTAGTCATGCCGGCCACATGACCACGGAAACGTCTTCGGACAGCGCTGGCTCTTCGGCTTTGGAACGGAGATGAGCACCGCAACCCTAGAGTCGGATTCGAATGGCTTCCGAGCAAGGGAACCTTTACCTTTACCTTTTGTACATTTTTGAGGCATCCACTGGACACAAACTTTGCCCTGTTCCTTCAGACCAGCATGGCTGCCCAACTTGATTCTTCTGTGTATTAATGTATGTGTTTATTCCTACTTTTCTCATTGGCTTACAGCATTGTTTTCCTCTTCTTCGATTTTCATCTTCACAATCAAGGCTGCTTATGTATAACAGCTTGTATTTTAATGGCTTTTTAAAAAAAATCCCGTGTTTTAAAATTGTAAGCTGCCCCGAGCGGAACTCTAAAGAGGCAACGTAGAAATATTCTAAATCAATAAATCACAGCAACCCTGCGAGGTCAGTTCGGCTGAGAGACTGAGATCACCTGAGGCTTAGTGGGGATTGAAACACCTAATCTTTGTACCCCACTGGTGTGAGAAAGAACAATTGGTCAGCACCAACACTCCCTCTAAGCTGTGGTGCCTTATGAGCAAAAATTCTACTTTGTGAGCTACTGGCATTAAAGTTGTGAGCGAGCGATTTGGCTCCTGCATCAATTAGTTTGCTCTGGAGCCATCCCTTCCTGAGCAAAGACAAAAATGTGTGAACTGGAAGCTGAAAAACTGTGAGCTATCTCACACTAACTCAGCTTAGAGGGAACACTGGCTGCAATGCTCCCGCTAAGCTGTGGAGCCTTGTGAGTAAAAATTCCACTTTGTGAGCTACTTGGCATTAAAGTTGTGAGCGAGCAATTTGGCCGCTGCAGAAATTAGTTTGCTCTGGAGCCCTCCGTCCCGAGCGAAGGCAAAAACGTGTGAGCCGGAGGCTGAAAAACTGTGAGCTAGCTCGCACTAACTCATCTTAGAGGGAACACTGGTCAGCGCACTCTGCATGTTCATGTGTACAGCTGTTAATCCCCGCCCTCTGTGTCACAGCTCTGGTGTGCCCACAATGCTCCCTCTAAGCTGTGGAGTCCTGTGAGCAAAAATTCTACTTTGTGAGCTACCGGCATTAAAGTTGTGAGCGAGCGATTTGGCCGCTGCGTAAATTAGTTTGTTCCGGAGCCCTCCTTCCTGAGCTAAGGCAAAAATGTGTGAGCCGGAGGCTAAAAAACTGTGAGCCAGCTCACACTGACTCAGCTTAGAGGGAAGACTGCCCACGGTCACTCTTTGTTTCCAAAAGGAAGTTTTCCCCGTGCAAGATGGACGCCTTCTCTGTGTGGGGGAGCTGAGGGGGTGGGTGGGAACCTTGACCTGGCAGCAGCGGAACAGAGAAAAGCAGACATGCCTCAAATGGAGGGTGGGGGAGGGGGCCTGACAGGCTGGCGGCATCACCTCCCCTCCCCTCCAGATCCCTGGGGCCACCTGAGGAATGCTGAGGGAGAGAGGGGGTGGGTGTTTCTGGACAGCTTCGCGAAGGCCTGGAGGGCGCACAATTACAGAGCCATAAAAAGAAGCACTTTACCGGAGGGGGGAGGAGGCAGGGGCTGGTGGGGTGCCGGATAACTCCTCCGCTCTGGGAGTCCTCTCGCCCCCTCCCGTCTGGTTCCCGAGAGGGAAAGGGCTTGAGACGCTAAACCCCCCCCCCCAAGGTTGGTGACTCGGCCTACCCCGGAGCGGCCTTGCCCATGAAGCCTGGGTTTCCACGTCCCTCCTTGTTGATTTAGCCGTGCACGCCTGGTATCAGCCCCAGTCCGTCATCTTATTTCTTGTGAGGTGCGGCCCTGGGGTGCCCTAGGTCCAAAGCACAGAAGAACGTATTTTTGACTCCCTGGGCAAAGCCGCCTGGTGGGTCTGGATGATGCCGAATAGAAGGGCTGAAGTTCAATCAGGGCCAACAGCAGTGTTCCCTCTAAGCAGTGGAGTCTTGTGAGCAAAAATTCTACTTCGTGAGCGACTGGGCATTAAAGTTGTGAGTGAGCGATTGGGCTGCTGCATAAATTAGTTTGCTCTGGAGCCCTCCTTCCCGAGCTAAGACAAAAATGCATGAGCTGGAGGCTAAAAAACCGTGAGCTAGCTCACACTAACTCAGCTTGGTGTAGTGGTTAAGTGCGCGGACTCTAATCTGGGAGAACCGGGTTGGATTCCCCACTCCTCCACTTGCACCTGCTGATGTGACCTTGGGTCAGTCACAAGCTCTGGCACCGCTGTCCTTGAAAAAGAGCAGTTTGTGTCAGAGCTCTCTCAGCCCCACCCACCTCCCAGGCAATGTTCCCTCTAAGCAGTGGAGTCTTGTGAGCAAAAATTCTACTTTGTGAGCTACTGGCATTAAAGCTGTGAGCAAGCGATTGGGCTACTGGATAAATCACTTTGCTCTGGAGCCATCCCTTCCTGAGCGAAGGCAAAAATGTGTGAGCCGGAGACTAAAAAACTGTGAGCTAGCTCACACTCACTCAGCTTAGAGGGAACACTGGCCAACAGCTGCGGTTTCTTTTTTAAAAGTTGGCAGTTTGTACTTATTTATCAAAAGGGTGATGTTCTACCTTTCCTCACCGTTCAAGGCAGCGGACAGTGACAGTTACAGACATTCTCGGTTAAAAATAATGATAAAGGAGCAACCTCCCCCCCAAAAAAATCTCTGCCTGCCCCTCACCCCTTAAAAGATACCTGCCATTCAACCCCCCCCCCCAAAAGTCCTGGCAAACAGGCAGGCCTTTCAACGCCTCCAAAAGATCTCCAAGGAGGGACCCCGTCCCACAGACCCAGAGCCCCAATGGAAAAGGCCGGCAGTGCAGATGAAGGCCGTGGCGTAATTTACGCCTTTTGTGAGAGCCAGTGTGAGCTCTCAGACACTCTTCCTAACTGTCAGAGTGGTTGAGCAGTGGAACAGTCTGTCTCTGGAGCTGGTGGAGGCTCCTTTGCTGGACGTTTTCAAGCGGAGGCTGGACGACCATCTTTCGGGTATGTTGTAGGGCTGTCTTTCGGCTTTGCTCCTGCAGAGTGCCGGGGGTTGGACTAGATGACCTGTAAGGTCCCTTCCAACTCTAACATTCTATGAGTCTATGATGGATAGAATGGCGGGCTAGGACCTTGGGTGACCTGGGTTCGCATGTGGAGCCAGAGTGGGGAATCAAGCCCGGTTCTCCAGTCCGCCACTCTTAACCGCTACTAGGGGTGTGCAAAAAAAATAAATAAATTCAGCCCATTCGGATTCTGCGGAATCTGGCAGAATCTATTTCGGCTGGCAGTAAGACACCCACATGTCAGTTTCGTCAGTACAGTGAGTCTTTGGGCCAGCCGAATGTCAATTTCAGCCCCATTATATCCTATGGGCCATTGAAGTCAATAGCGAAAACATAGGGTATATTCTGGGGGCTGGAGGGGAGGGGGCTTGAGGACAAGACTCCAAACCCGCAGGGTAGCTGCTGGGGCCTCTCCCCAAGATATTAACCAAGTTTCAAGAGCATTGGACCAGGGGGCCAATTCTACGGGCCCCCAAACAGGTTGTCCCATCCCCTCCATTGTTCTCTATGGCGGGAAAAAGTTACTTTTTTCCCACCATAGAGAACAATGGAGGAGATAGGGGCAACCTGTTTGGGGGCCCGTAAAATTGGACCCCCTGGTCCAATGTTCTTCAAACTTGGTTGGTATCTTGGGGAGAGGACCCAGCAGCTACCTTGCGAGTTTGGAGCCTCTCCCTCAAACCCCTTCCCCTCCAGCCCCCAGAATAAACCCTATGTTTTCACCATTGACTTCAATGGCCCATAGGATATAATGGGGCCGAATTGCCGGTGGAAGCGGCAAGCCGATTCAGATCAGAGAATCTGAATCGGCCTGCAGCAGCCCGAAAGGGGTCCGAATGGGCCATTTTCGGGGGGTGCATTCGGTTCGGACAAACTGAATGCACATCCCTAACCGCTACACCAAAGGAAGAGGAGGTTATAGTAAGCCGGAGTGCTTTGGTAACAGGACTGGCCTCCTGGTTTGTTTGTTTGTTTTACATAGACGACCCTGGAAATATTTCACTGAAGGTCACTCTCTTTTCTTTTGTCTCTTGAATAATACAGAACGAAGGGAAGAGGGAGCAAGTGCCCGGCACCCTCAACCAGATGGAAGCGGAGGTCATCGTCCATTCTGATTTCTTGGCCTCCAACAGAGGTTACGACTCACAGCTCCGCATGCTGGACATAGAAGGGCCCCTGGCTGAGAACCGGGGCCCAAAACACCTCCCAGCGCAGGGGGGCCCGTCTCAGAAGGCTTCTGTCAGCCACTCCGAGGAGAGCCCGGAAGAAGAGAGTGACCCCGAGGCCTCTGACGTGTTGTTAAGGCCTGAGAGGCAGACTCACAAGATGGCTGCCGGGTTTCCCGGGCCTGTGGAACGCCTTGACTCGGTGGGGAGCAGGGACTTCCTTCGGGGAGAGGGAGAGAGCGCAGGCCCTGCCCCCTGTGACGTTTTCCCCCAAAGCCAGTCACAGGTCTTGCTGTGTGGGGGCCTGTCTAGTCTAATCCGTTCTCCCACAGCATTTGAGAATGTAGCATGCACAGACCATCTCTGAAGAGAGCGTTTGACGAAATTGTTGGCCCCGGCAGAGCTAGAAATCGCGTAACATCTTCGGCGGTACTAAACAGCCTCATAATTGGGAGTTTGGGTGAAAAGGAGAGGAGGGGCCGTGGCTCAGCGGCACAGCATCTGCTCGGCATGTGGAAGGTCCCAGGTTCGATCCCCGGCACCTCCAGTTAAAAGGACCAGGCAGGAGGTGATGGGAAAGACCTCCGCCTGAGACCCTGGAGAGCCACTGCCAGTCTGAGTAGATATTGACTTTGATGGACCAGTGGTCGGATTCAGTAGAAGGTACCTTCATGTGTTCATGGGAAGGGGGCGTGGCTCAGCGGCAGAGCATCCGCTTGGCATGCGGAAGGTCCCAGGTTCAATCCCTGGCATCTGCTGTTAAAAGGACCAGGCAGCAGGTGATGTGAAAGACCTCCGCCTGAGACCCTGGAGAGCTGTAAGGAGGGGCCGTGGCTCAGTGGTAGAGCATCTGCTTGGCATGCAGAAGGTCCCAGGTTCAATCCCTGGCATCTGCTGTTAAAAGGACCAGGCAGCAGGTGATGTGAAAGACCTCCGCCTGAGACCCTGGAGAGCTGTAAGGAGGGGCCGTGGCTCAGTGGTAGAGCATCTGCTTGGCATGCAGAAGGTCCCAGGTTCAATCCCTGGCATCTGCTGTTAAAAGGACCAGGCAGCAGGTGATGTGAAAGACCTCCGCCTGAGACCCTGGAGAGCTGTAAGGAGGGGCCGTGGCTCAGTGGTAGAGCATCTGCTTGGCATGCAGAAGGTCCCAGGTTCAATCCCTGGCATCTGCTGTTAAAAGGACCAGGCAGCAGGTGATGTGAAAGACCTCCGCCTGAGACCCTGGAGAGCTGTAAGGAGGGGCCGTGGCTCAGTGGTAGAGCATCTGCTTGGCATGCAGAAGGTCCCAGGTTCAATCCCTGGCATCTGCTGTTAAAAGGACCAGGCAGCAGGTGATGTGAAAGACCTCCGCCTGAGACCCTGGAGAGCTGTAAGGAGGGGCCGTGGCTCAGTGGTAGAGCATCTGCTTGGCATGCAGAAGGTCCCAGGTTCAATCCCTGGCATCTGCTGTTAAAAGGACCAGGCAGCAGGTGATGTGAAAGACCTCCGCCTGAGACCCTGGAGAGCTGTAAGGAGGGGCCGTGGCTCAGTGGTAGAGCATCTGCTTGGCATGCAGAAGGTCCCAGGTTCAATCCCTGGCATCTGCTGTTAAAAGGACCAGGCAGCAGGTGATGTGAAAGACCTCCGCCTGAGACCCTGGAGAGCTGTAAGGAGGGGCCGTGGCTCAGTGGTAGAGCATCTGCTTGGCATGCAGAAGGTCCCAGGTTCAATCCCTGGCATCTGCTGTTAAAAGGACCAGGCAGCAGGTGATGTGAAAGACCTCCGCCTGAGACCTGGGAGAGCCGTTGCCAGTCTGAGTGGGGACAATACAGACCTTGATGGACCAAGGCTCTGATTCAGTAGGTTCCTGTGTGTGGGTGGAAAAGGGCCTTTCAGAGAGCATTGACAGGAGGTGAACCTTTCGCGTGCCGTTTGCATCGGGACTCTGAAGGCCGCTTCCCTCCAAACCTTGCTCTTCTCTCTCCTACGATATTCAGTCTGCAAAGCTGAGCAGATGTGATGCCAAGGGAGGAGCAGTGCGTGAGAAAGGGCTGGATCCAGCTTCAGGCGGTAGTGGCGGTTGCCAGCTCAGACTAGACAAGTCCCCAGATTCTTCGAACGTAGGAAAGAGCCGCCCAGGTGGGGAGAGTGGAGTGGAGGTGGTTCAACGGAACGGAGATTTGTGCCACAGGAGTATCCTGGCACCATCAGAGGAGAGTGGTGGGGCTCACGCTTCGTTGGCGCTGAGCCTGAATGGGTTGAGATCTCTGCGGTGGCCAGATCCTGCCCTCCTCCCCTGGCACCAAGATGGTCGCTGGACCACGGAAGCACCCCCAAATTGCTGGCTTCCGCCGCTGGTCAGAGTGGTCCGACTTGCAGCTGTAGAAGTGGGCAGAAAAAAGGAGTTTCCCGAATCCGGCTCGCTCGCTCTCTTTTTAAAAACAAAATGCAAAACTTCTTGATGGATTTCAGCACAATAATTCGAAGTATCAGCTGGCCAGATTAATTACTTCTGCAGTCCGCATCCCTCCCCCTGCCCCCCAAATTCTAACGGCATCCACTTCTGGAAGTGCTGGGGAAAATTGAGAATACAAATGTGCCTTTTTTTGCAAATACGTTTTGTTGGAGCAGTTGGTGGACGTGTTACCACCCCCCCCCCCCCCCACAAAACCACATTCGGCCTCGTATTATAAATGGAGGCTAGAAAGACAGTGTAAGTTTTTCAGAGTGTGTGTTTACTACTACACTTTTATCTCACTTTTGCCTCTGGTTAAATAGGTTTGATAGGTTTTTTCTGTTGTTTCAAAAATATTCAAAACCTGTTTGACCAGAGGTGCCGGCAGGACCCACGAAAGATGAGCATACATCACAGGAAGGGGGAAAGGCCCAGTTTCCGTGGCAAGCTGCTGTGTACTTGAATGAGGCAGTTGCCGAGAGCTGCAGCGTTTATGGCCGGTTTACACATTCAGGGGAATCCAAGGGAGAAAGCGCCTCCTGGACTCTACCACCATAAACTTGCAGGAGGAGTTAAAATTGGCCCGTTTGAACGCTCGCCTCTGCAGTTCTGAGGAGACGGTTTTTATGTCGCCGGACGTGCTGATTTTGTTTGTACGTTTCAAAAAAGAGAGTACACATTTGGAGTACGCGTACACGCACGTGCTCTGCCGCCTGAAGTGGTACAGCCCCCTCCTCGCAGAGCTTTACCACTTGATCTCGTGGAGCTTAAAACTGGACAGCGAGAGGGGCTCATTTGGGTGAGCGTCGGCCCGTCGTTGCTACCAGGCAGGTAACGGCGGCTTTTTATACACACTCAACGAGTGCTTCTAACAACTTCTACTGAAAATAGAGAACCTTTGCCGGCTAACTGGGTCACCTCACCAGCCTGGACTCTTGATATTAACAGAGGGCACCATCCCAGGGCGACCTTCTCTCCCGTCAGCTCCGTTGAAGGGAATGGGGCCCGTTTTCGGCTTCGTTTTCGGCTTTCTTTCGGAGGTGCTTGTGCATAGAAGGATTTCGGCCACAGGGTGCCCGTAGGTTCTTGTACCTAATATTTTAGGTATCGGTCGCTTTCTCTCCTTTTTTAAATGTACGGCAACGTATTTTTTATTTCCTCAGAGCATCTTTATTTTATTTAATTTTATAAAAAGGGGGGGGGACACCACAGTTGCATAGAGTATGTTGTAGCATAGCAATTTTACTACTATTTCTGTATTGGTTTGTTTGTTTTTTTAACAACACAACTACCTCATGCTTGTTTTAAAAACAAAATAAAAGCAGTAGATTTTGTTCTTTTCCGGTGGTTTGTGCTTTGTTTATTTGGGGGGGGGGGGGGGGGGGGCCCCCAAAAAGCACAATGTGGTGGTAGCCGCTTCTTTTGTTTGCTTAAAATGTGCATCTCCTGCGTTATCTCCTTAGAGGCAAGCAAGAAACGGCAACGGGATGGCTTTAAAAAGGATCAGATGCATGGATGGCCTGTTGCAAAAGACTGAGGGCCAGTTTGGTGTGGTGGTTAGGAGCGCGGACTCTAATCTGGGAGAACTGGGTTTGATTCCCCACTCCTCCACATGCAGCTGCTGGTGTGACCTTGGGTCAGTTACAAGTTCTTTCAGAGCTGTTCTCTCAAGAACAGTCCTCGAAAGAGCTCTTTCAGCCCCACCTGCCTCGCAGGGTGTCTGTTGTCGGGAGGGGAAGGGAAAGAAGATTGTAAACTGCTCTGAGACTCCTTCGGGTAGTGAAGGGCAGGGTATAAATCCAATCTCTTCTTCTTCCTCTTCCTCCTCCTCTTCTTCTACTTCTTCATCATCATCGTTGTTTTCATAATAATATTTAACATTTATTCAAAGCACTTCATGTACATTAGAACCACAGCCATTACAAGAAGCCCAGCAAAATGGTGGTGGAAAGCAGTGTTCCCTCTAAGCTGAGTTAGTGTGAGCTAGATCGCAGTCTATTAGCCTCCAGCTCACACATTTTTGTCTCAGCTCAGGATGGGACGGCTCCCGAGCAAACTGATTTATGCAGTAGCCAAATTGCTGGCTCACAACTTTAATGCCAGTCGCTCACAAAGTAGAATTTTTGCTCACAAGACTGCACAGCTTAGAGGAAACATTGGACTTGGAGTGCCCTCGAGTTGCAGCGGACTTAGTGGCAACCCACTAGGGGGTCAGTGTTATCATGCCCGTATTCCTGACTCTGGGAGAGAGAGAGAGAGGGCGTAGTGGCTGTCCAGTGACTCCTGCGCCTCAAGAAAGACGTTATAGCACTTGAAAAGGTGCAGAAAAGGGCAACTAAAATGATTCAGCAGATGGAACACCTCCCCTGCGAAGAAAGTTTAAAGAGATCAAGGCTCGTTAGCTTGGAGAAATGACATGATCGAGGTTTACAAAGTTATGCCTGGGATAGAGAAGGCAGAGAAAGTGGCACTTTTCTCCCTTTCTCACAATACAAGAACTCGTGGGCACTCCATGCAATTCATGAGCAGAGAAAAGGAAGTCCTTCTTCACCCAAAGAGTCATTAACACATGGAATTCACTACTGCAGGAAGTGGCACTTTTCTCCCTTTCTCACAATACAAGAACTTGTGGGCACTCCATGAAATTCATGAGCAGAGAAAAGGTAGTTTTTCTTTACCCAAAGAGTCATTAACACATGGAATTCACTACTGCAGGAAGTGGCGGCGGCTACAAGCATGGACGGCTTCAAGAGGAGATTGGAGAAACGTATGGAGCAGCGGTCCGCCAGCAGCTATTAGCCACAAGGTCTAGAGGGAACACTCTGTCTGGGGCAGTGATGCTCTGTCTTCTTGGTGCTTGGGGGGGGCAACAGCCGAAGAGCTTCTGGAGTTCTGGCCCCACTAGTGGACCTCCTGATGGCAACTGAGTTTTGGCCACTGTGTGGCACAGAGTATGTGACGCAGATAGGCCATTGGCCTGATCCAACAAGTCTTAAGTTTGGTTGTAGTGGTTAAGTGCGCGGACTCTAATCTGGGAGAACCGGGTTTGATTCCCCACTCCTCCACTTGCAGCTGCTGCATGACCTTGGGTCAGTCAT